AAAGCAATTTCAACTTTAATGTATAAGCAATACAGTGGAGTGTTGCTTGAAGATGACAACATATTTTTAAAACCAATACTAAATTTCGTCGTTTAACATCCAAGCAAATTGGTTGGAGCGGCTTCTTGTATCGACTGATAGTTACAATACCCGTGGTTCGATTCCACGAGCAGTATTTTGTTAGATTTTTAACAGCATTGTTTCACTTTTTAATGTTAACGTTGACACATCACAATATTTGCTCACTAGAAATTGCTTAAGGTGGGTGGGTAGATATTATTAATAAAGCGTAGGGTGGGTATGGGTAGATAAACAAATCACGAAATCGCTCTGCAGTTTGCATACGATTGTGTATTCATTCTGTGATTACGCATTGTTTCACGTTTCGTTCCCATTTATCTATTCAGTTTTACTGATTCCAAGGTTTCAAAGTTTTCTTTCTTGTTTTAATATGCCGCAACGGAATTATTAAAATTAGAAATTATTGTTCTGTACGAACAAGAATTAGACATTACTTAGACCGATCCAGAGGTTAAAAACAAAAAACAAGCAATATAATATAGTCATAGCTAAATAATATTTTATTTTTAATGCGACTCGAACCATGCTACTGCTAGGCTACGACTGCTTACTAAAGCTGGTTGAAATTTGTATTCTGTATTTAAATAAGAACCATACGTTAAGGGTCAAATTGGCATAAAAACTTTCTTACAATGTCATTAACTAATGGAGACGACCAGGGAGTCATATTGGGAATGATGATGATGGTCTTTAAACACCAGAGAACATGTCAAGAACCATCCCGATTAAGTCAGCCATCACTTCGAAAAATCTCCATTGTATTATCCGTTTTGGAACTACGATCCCACATACAGACACACAGACAAGTCTGAAAATCTCACGTAATAGTATATTTTAGCAGCCGTAGAGGAGCGAAGTCTCCAGAACATCGTTACGCTATATAAGAAGACCGACCCAGACAACGTACCGGCCAATGCTGCACCGAGAGTGAGCAGTTGGAGTCCCGTCACAGTGTGAATTTTAATTCATTTGTGGTGAGAGTACCAACTCAACATTGCCGACCTTCATGAAGAAGGACTTTTGGCCGTAGGGTGTCATGTTCCGGCGTTTCCGAGGACGGCTGTCGGACAGCCACGTTGCTGTATCACACGTCCATACGTGTAAATAAATAAATAGTTTTTATTATATTTATGGGACTTGTGAACTTATGTCTCAGGGTGACCGGCGCAATTGCAATGCCCCACAGATCTTTGCGATTTAAAGCTCTGACTGACATTCCAACTGTTAGACGTGTAGCCATGTACCTTACTATCAGGCGCACGACGAAAACCGACGTCAGACGAAAACCGACGAAGCAAGAGAAGTCTGCGATATACCTACTAGTAGGTTCGACAAGAAACCGCTTTGGCGTCCATTATCTGACGTAGATACGATACAGTAAAACTTTTATCTCGTATTAAAAATTTGCATAATATCAATTTCACGCTTGATTTCATGCATTAATTACTAAACAAATACTTCATATTGCTATTTGGATAATTCAAACAGTTCATAGTCGCAATGTTTTTGAATAAAACAATAAAAACTTTAATTTGTGTACTTTTTATTAACAATTCTTACGGGATACCAAATGTGAAACCAAGACTTTTTAGGATACTTGAAAAAGGCAAAAAAGTTTTTTTACAAAATGATGAACCTAGTGGTTACAACCCTAAAGAACTATTGAAATTTGTACAGAATTATGGCGATATAGAATACAATGTCAAAAACATATTAAATATGAACAAAAGCAAGTATCCTGATGGGAAACATCCCTTGGGAATAAGGAGAATACTAGCCAAAAGAATCGTTCCATCCGCTCAAATAACACCTGATTTCGAATATGACAAGAAATCTGAAACATATTTCAAACCTTTGGTTAAAATTCACAAAGTCAAAAAGATGGCGAAACGAGAAACAAATCCCAGCGTATCGAGTGATTCATTTGATCTTTCTTCATTCGAAAATGATGAATCTAAACAGGATATTAAAATTTACGACATAAATGGTCCTGTACCCAACAGTAATCGAGATTTACACTACCTAAAGCCTAAAGAAAAAAACGAAAATGATGAATCTGAACAGGATATTACAATATACGATATAAATGGTCCAATACACACTAATCGAGATTTACATTACCTAGAGCCTAAAGAAAAAAAAGAAAATGATGAATCTGAACAGGATTTTATAATATACAACATAAATGGTCCAGTGCACAACAGCAATCGAGATTTACATTACCTAAAGCCTAAAGAAAAACAAGAAAATGATGAATTTGAAAAGGATATTACAATATACGATATAAATGGTCCAATACACACTAATCGAGATTTACATTACCTAGAGCCTAAAGAAAAAAAAGAAAATGATGAATCTGAACAGGATATTATAGTATACAACATAAATGGTCCACTACTCAACAGTAATCGAGATGTAAATTACCTAAAGCCTAAAGAAAAAAAAGAAAATGATGAATCTGAACAGGATATTAAAATATACGACATAAATGGTCCAATACACAAAAATAATCGAAAAAAGAATCCTAAAGAAAAAAAAGAATCTCAAAATATTAATAAAAAACAAGAGAACATAAGAATGTCTATAGAAGAACAAGGTGCAAGATTTCTAAAAGACATACAACAAATGACACATTTATTACAAGACAAAAGACAAAAAAATATTATCAAAGATAAAGTATCTGTTATTGTCCAAGAGTTAGAGAATTTACATGGAAATTTGTTTGATTTAGTAGACAAAACCGTTCATCTAAGGGCTCAAAATATTGATGTTGACAATATGATTTCTTTACCTCTCTCAGACGTACTGCCCCTTCAGAAAGACATCACTGTGCAAGAGAACAAACTAAAGAATACAAGTCCAATTTTGCCGCATAATCCTATATGGAACTTTTGGACGGTAAGATAAACCATCAAATTATAGCTTAGTAGGAGAATACCTGCCTGAAATGTTGGTGGTCTTGGGTTCGATTCCCACCGAGTTACCTGCACCACAAACTTACATTAATTAATTATAATACAAATTATCATCCTCGTTAACGGTGCAAGAAAACATTGTGATGATTAAATTGCATTTCGGAGAAGGTAAATAACTGTCTCCGAACGCCAACCATGCTTGTCTGCCCGCAGAGGTTCCGGGTTCGATTCCTGGGCCGGCCGGGAGAAATAATTGCATTTATTTGTCTCGTGAGTTTGAATGTAATTTGTGGTTGTCTGTGTGTGTCCATGGCACCCGCGATGCAGGGTTTCCCTAGTGTGGGGTAATGAGTGTGTGCGTATGTGCGTGTGCACAATATAACTATTCGAACACGGAACTGTGTCGCAGAATATAGCTAAAATGTAGCCGTGTGACGTCGTCGGCACTTTTAACTTTTATTTTATAATATTCATATATGGTTTATTCATATTAATATACGGTAGAATTTAGTGTAAATAAGTAAATTCATCGATAAGACTACATAAAAAGATTAAATTACCAAGAAACCAAGGATTTCATAAATTTTCAATTCAAAAAGGAAAAGAAATACAAATCTGGCTATGAGTACTGGGCTCTTTTAAATTTGATACCTTAGAAGCCTAGCCCGCACACGCTAAGTGAGGCAAATTGTAGGGCGCCCTATGGGCTCACACGAGCGAGCGGGCTGTCCGTTCTCAAGGTCAAGCTGCACCGCGAGCAACTCAAAAATTTTTGCTAAAAATGACGAAATGTGCGGTAATTGGGTTTAAAAATAGATCAGACAAATATAAAATAGACACTAAAATCACATTCCACAAGGAAGTAACGCGTTTCAACTTGTATTTTTATGTAAATATTCACTAAAACAGAAAATTAATTTCGTTGCAACAAGATACGCAAATGTTGCAAAGTAACGGGTTTTTTCTCCCCATTTTGCTATTCTGTTTCAAAATAATTATATTACGTAATTTTTTGAGAATAGGCAATATCGCGACGGTTGCAAAATTTCTACAAATGTACATCTCCGCAACAACATTGTAGGGAATTTACATTAGCTATTTTTACGAAATATATTCAGTATTTGCCTTCATTAGTTTCATGTGAAAAATCATTATTCTTGTTCATCATACACTCATTTAAAAAAATTGTCTTGCCCAGACTCAAAAGTTCTTAACTAAAATTATTTCAGGAAACTAACACCGACTAAAAAGTCATCGTCAGTTCTCCAAAATCGTGTATAAATAACTTTCAGGTTCATGTTCTTAATTGTTATCGTGTACTTTTCATGTAAACATACGCTATTTATATATTCAAATTCGATAGTCGCACTTAAACTCGCATGTAGGTTTTTGTTCATATATGAGTTAAATAAAAATTGGGTAGTATTTAATAAGGTGCCTACAGATTTGCTCGACATTGTCGATCGACAGTAAGGATTGAGAATTATAGACGTTTTCGAGGAGTTTTAGAGTGCTTATTACGAATGTAGCATTAATTTCTAAATCCAAGATGGTTGACAACAATTTTCAAAAATGTATTTTTGGTAAACCATAAGGAAATGGCATGTATATCTGAGTACAAGATGGCGGACAAGACTTCTAATTCTTCTTCTTCCAATTCTTCGCCATCTTGGATTTAGAAATATGTGCTATATTCGGAATGAGCAGCCCCTAATACCTTGAAAACGACACCCAACTTGCCATTATTCGAAAAATCGTGCCCGCCATCTTGGATTTAGAAATTAGTGCCATGTTCTTAATGAGCACACCCAAATACCTCGAAAACGACACCCAACTTCCTATTATTTGAAAAGTCATGTCCGCCATCTTGGATTTAGAAATAAGTGCTATATTCCTAATGAGCACGCCCAAATACCTCGAAAACGATCCCCAACTTGCCATTATATGAAAAATCGTGCCCACCATCTTGGATTTAGAAATAAGTGCCATATTCGTAATGAGCACCCCCAAATACCTCGAAAATGTTACCCATATTGCATTTATTTCAAAAGTCGTGTCCTCCATCTTGGATTTAGAAATGAGAAAAGTCGTGTCCGCCTTCGTGTATTCAGATATAAATGCTTTTTCCATATGGATTACCAAAAATAAATTTTTGAAAATTCGTCACTTGACGTTGTCGATCAACAGTACAGTGTCGATCGACAAAATCGCGCGTATCTGTAGGCACCTGATCGACAGTAACGATCGACAAAATCGAGCAAATCTGTCGGCACCTCTAACTTAACGATGAGTTAAGCAAGATACAATTTCCCCACTTTTGAGGAAAATGTTATTCCATGGCATCATTATTTGTATATTTGTGTGCGTGCCGACGAGCGTAGTTACAAGTTGCTTACGCCTACATGAATTTGGTTTTTGCTTCACTTGAGACAGTTCGTTTTTTATGAAACTATCATTCTATGCGTTATTATTCTGAGTTTGATACATTATAAATTTATTTGCAATAGGTGTAGTCAGAGAGATAATTATGTAATCTACATAATTATTTAAAATACACCTATTTTTATACATTTTTGTTTTAATAATAGGGGTTAAAGTATGAAATTGCCGATTTGTACTGAAAATCTAAATTGTTTATTTTTTAAATTTTTAACAAATTTATTTAATCAAAATAGTTGCCATTATTATCTATACATTGCTGCCATCTAATGGGAAGGTTATTAATGCCTTTGCGATAGAACTCCGACGATCTAGGCTGCACAAACTGTGTGAAAGCATTTTGTACTGCCTCCTGGGAAGAAAACTTCTTGTCACGTAGATAATTGTCCAAATCACGAAAAAAATGGTAGTCCGTTGGAGCAAGGTCTGGTGAATACGGAGGATGACGAATGGTTTCTAACTGCAGTTCCTGAAGGGTCAAAATGGTTTCTCGTGCTGTGTGAGGTCTCGCGTTGTCGTGGAGCAATAATGGTGAAGATCGATTCATGAGTCGGGGCTGTTTTACTGCTAGTTTTGTCAACATGGTTCGGAGTTCGGCACAATAGACATCTGCCGTTATTGCTTGACCAGATCGGAGAAAACTATAGTGAATAACACCATGCTGAGACCACCAAACAGTTACCATTACCTTTTTTTTGATAAGTTTTGCTTTAGGACACTGTTGTGGCATTTGACCTGGGGTCAGCCATTGCATTTTTCTTTTCCGGTTATCATAAAGAATCCACTTTTCATCACATGTTACTATTCGATCCAATATTCCTTCATTTCTGTACCGGTTCAACAAGGCAACACAAGTTTCAACACGCGTTTCTTTCTGCAGATCAGTCTAATCATGAGGCACCCATTTTTCGTATTTTTTTATTTTATTGATTTGACGCAAGTGAGTCAATATTGTGGGTAAGGTAACGTTAAACCATGCCGCTAATTCCTGGGTAGTTTGACTAGGATCGGCTTCCACTATCTCTCTTAATTCATCGTTATTCACCTGTGTGGGCGGTCTTCCTCGTGGCTCGTTCTTTAAGTCGAAATTTCCATCACGAAAGCGTTTAAACCAAAATCGCACGGTGCGTTCATTAGTAGACCCCTCTCCAAACGCAGCATTGATATTGCGGGCTGTTTCTGCCGCGTTAGTTCCGCGTCGGAACTCGTATTCAAAAATCACTCGAATTTTCGCAGTATCCATCTTTCTTGTCTAAATTGAATAACAAAAACAATTGAAAGTCGATATTCAAATGTTTCAAATTAAAAAAAAAAAAATCACAGAAACCATTTGAAAAAAGTTTCATTCGAAAACCTCAAACCATGAAGATTCTATGAAAATTCAAAGAACCTATTGCAATAAAACGGCAATTTCATACTTTAACCCCTAATATTTAATAAGTCAATATTTTTTCCGAGAAATCGAAGTGACTCGGTGAAATTCGGCGATTCATTTCTTACAACACTATTATTTAAAAAAAATAGCCCGAGGACGTAACTGCTTTCAGGACGTTTCGGAGTAACTCAAAATTGCATTTTATTTTGGAATTCGTGCCAAAATAGTACTTCAAATATGTTTTGTCATATTATTATAATGTTTCAATAAAATTTATATATTTTTTTAACTCAATTATGCTAATAATTGTTTGTTTATTGTTTCATTGATCGCATTCAAAGTTACATACCTTCGTTAGCTGTCAAATTTGGCCTCTTATTTGGTGACGACTATGATTTCCATTTCATTGTGATCACACTTCTTCTTATCGTATTGGTAGCATGTGGGTGGTATACATAACAGAGGCGAGGCGTCCATATCACTAGATTCCCACCGGCTTGCCTAAAATTTTCTATTCCGTATAATCAAAACACTGTACGAGACAGCGCGCATACCCCACTACTTAAAAACTTTACTCAAAATATTCATTAATAAACGTGTAGTAAGTAACCTGTCCTTGATAATACGGAGCTTCATGACTGATCTTATTAACCAATCACAGCCCGAATAAGCCGGTATTTTTAGACTTTCAGTTCATCCATAAAACCTACACGCGTACATCAAAATTCACGCACACGGTCGCAAAAGTCCGGTATCATACATTGGTACAAATGGCTCGCCGGTAACCCGCTAATGATGGAGTTATGATCGAATATTCACTTAAATTTAAACCTTACGTCAGATAGCGCGAAGGTTGATTTTTAAAGACCCGTACTAACTTGTCGCCAATGTTTCATAAAAAAGAATGTTACCAAGTGTAAAACTTTTTTATTATTATACAAATATTATAATAACTGTAAATAAATAAATAGGTTATAAAAATATATAAAATAAATATGTTCTTATTGAGGTGACAGAGGGAAACCAGGTTTTCTTCAATATGGTGGTTTAATTACATACATGTTATGTGTAATCTGTATTACGGTGGTTCAACAGTACATACAGCGTCGGAGGTACAGTGGCAAAGGACTCCCCCTAATCAACACGTAGTCAAGGATCCGTAAACACGTTCCAATTAGGAAGCGGCACAGGGTGCAACAACTAGTGCAACGTTCTAAAGCACAGTTTCGAAAGGAAACAGCGCAAGAAGCGTATTGAGGTACAATTGGTCCACTATAATGATCTAAAGCGTAGTTTCAAATAAGAAAGCAGAGCTAGATGCGTAGTAAGGTGGATTCCTTAATGCTCGTATCGCCGCCAGTAGTCGTTGCGCGAGGGAAAATCTTAACTCTTATCTTAACTCACCGCGATGCAGAATTTGCTCTTTCGACGCCAATGCCATCTAGCGGTGCGTGACGGAACTAATATGAGTTGTTGCCTGTTACGTGATTTTAAAATAACAAATTAGATAATAAAAATCGGTTCTCACTACTCAAAGTATATGGAGAGAGAAACGCCTTGAATTGGATAAATAGCAAAATCAACCATTAAAATAATTGCTCCTTAGTAAAATTTAGGCGCTATTTATAAAAATGAATCTTCATGCGTGAACAGCCACCCTTAGAGGTGGATGATTTTCTTCAAAATGAAATGGGACCACTATGGAAGTACCCCCTTTCCAACAAAAAAAGAATCATGACAATCGGTTCACAAATACCGGAGTTATCGCGTAACATACATACAAAAAAAACATACAGTCGATTTGAGAACCTCCTCCTTTTTGGAAGTCGGTTAAAATAAAAAGGTGGTTTTTGTAAATGTTACAAAAATTTTAGTTCAAAGTGTTGGCTCAACACACACTTGCGCAGAGTCGAAGCGTCGCGACGAGTCGCCGATAGATAGTAAAAAATTTTGATATTCAATAAACATTTACAATTATTATAGCGAAATCTCTAGTCACAGGTAATAGATGGCGCAACGGCAAAAAAGTCGTTAAAAACCAAAATAAAGATCTGCAAACAAAAGTTAAACACACTGAAAAATTAAAAAAAATTACAATATTAGATATGGCAAGGGAGAAATTAATTAAGACCAAATTTTTGCTTTTTGTTTTTGTTTTTAGTAAAATGTTAATTAAATTTTAGAGTAAAAGACATACTTTTGCCCAACACAATTTCGTTCACAAAACTTGTTTAAAATAGATGCGAGTATACAATTTTATTAAAATTATAAAGTTTTCGTGAAATAAACCGCGGTTTCGTTTCAAACAAAGACAAAGTAGTTTCCGTTACTACTACAAAATGATATTTAGTTAATTTTGTCAAAGAACGATTATGTAAAAAACAGTTGTACTGTAAATATGTTTTATAACACTTTCATATTTGTGTTTTAAAGTAATAATTGAAAATGCCATTTCACAAAATCTATTGCTAAACATTTCGATGAAGAATAAAAATCCCTGCATGTTTGTAAGCCGGGATAAACTTGTACTGTGAAGATGTAATACATCTTACTAGTAACTTAGTCCATGTTCATTTACATAATTTTGGCGAAGTATAGAGCACATCCGTGAATATTTGGCAAATTGCTACAATTTTTCAATTCATTTTGTTTTAAAAGTATGCAATATTGATTGCCATTAGACGCACGCAGTCCTGTGTTCGCACCAGTGTGCCCTAAATCAACCGTTAATTAAATTCCAACATTTTAACTTTATCTTCCGCCATTTTGTCTGGTAACACGCACGGCCTGTTGCTCGCAAACCCATCAGGGCCGGCTGGGCGTGCGAGGAGCGTCTGCTATTGTCTGTCTTTTTTTAAGGTGGAGTAAAATGACATTTACAGGGTTGCCAGTTTTCGTAAAATTTTAAATAGTCGTGTAGTTGTTGTCGACAATTTTATCGGTAGATTGTGAAAGTACGTAAAATTTTGCCAAAAATGTTTGTATTGTGAATGTTACGACTAACGCTACGTTCAAATGATTACCAATTGCGTTATTGTATTCTTTACACGTGTTTTGGCTGTCAGTATTAGTATCGAAATCAATTTTTAGTCGTACACACACAACGACAGGTGGATTTGATTATGTATATTAAATTCATATGAAAAACTTTAAAACATGTTTCTTATTTGTATTTTATACTCATACTGCTAAACTCAGTGTATGTATACAGTGTGTTGATTTGCATTATCTCCATATTTAAGAAGTTAATAATAGGAATAATGCTAAATCTAAAAATATTTAAAAAATACATTCTGTTCAATATTCTGGCTAATTGTACCTAGTAAAGTTTTGTAAAATATTCACCGCGGAGGGCAGTGACCAACAAAACGCCACTCGCTTCACCGGGCGATACGTAATCTTTCTCGATCGCTTATTTAGCAATTTTTTTGAATTACGTTTATGTATTATATTGTTATAATTTACTAATTATTTACATTAGTTAGAAAAGTTGACTGAAAACAACTTTTTTTGTAACTTAGATCTGGTATTTTACCAACTTTAGATTACGTGGAAGTAGTGCTAGAAGTACCTAGCTCCACAGCTGGTGGCAGGCTCTGTTCCGAAACCAGCCACAGATATGCAGAGTTTCGTTTCAACTTAGCACATTCTTCAAAACAGAGAAAGCAGAAAGAAACCAGAGACGGTTTTTTGCGATCAGTTCTTCGACACTCGTAATCTGTGTAAACTAAACGTTTCACATCATGCCATAAGAACGCACTTGATGGTAATGCAAGGTCTGGTAAACATGGTAGCAGTTTTTGTTTGCACTAACTCGTGTTTACATACCAAACCACGTTACATTTCGTGAGAAACTAGAACATATGCGCGATGTACTACCAATCACGCACTTGATACGATACTCCCCCCGTCCCTACCCGTACCCTACCACCAAACAGATCCAAAATGCATATTTTCTGCGCATAGGCCAATGTTCAAATGGTTGCCGGTACCTGTGACACGTGTAGTACGTCAATGCCTTTAGATAAAGAAAAAAAAAGCATTAGAAATTTTTTTTTCTATTTATTTTTTTAGTGATTTGGGTTCAGTTTCCCGTATAGAAAATTGAAAAATTACATATTTAATAACCGATGAAATATGATTCCGTTTATTTTGTAATTAGATGTTTTGCTGTTTTTCCCATACCACCGAATAGAACAGCACGGCATTGTTAAAGATATTATCTTTATTACAATAAATACAGAATATTTTTTGGAATATACGGAGACGTACACACAGGTCAGTTGTAGGCACTGTACTATTTCAGCTTTCTAATTTGTGATTTCAGCGCAAACGAGAGTTGATATTTAAAAGGCCCATCTGCCTGAAGAGTTGCCAGAGACGGATTTTCGTCTCTATTTCTGGTTATATACTCGTTGTATGGACATGATGAATGGTTCCGAGTAGTTCTGGCATAATATGCTTGAATTCGACTAAGGCGAATAATTTACCCATTCCAAGATTCTATTATTAGTAACATGGAAAAATCACGTATCGTTAGTTTAAATATTTTATAAACCAAATTAATCAATAACATTTTTGTGTTATAAAATTTCATAGAAATGCAATATTTGTTTCATGAAGTTTGTATTAAAAGCCCTTTTGACGTATAATCAAGTCAGACTTTATTATAATAAGGCTGCGAAATCAAGATCAAAAGCGACGTAAAAAGCTTAAATCACCTCACCAACTTCTTGTTAACGTAATTTTAACTATTCACAGTATAAGAAAACGCTGCTAATTGACGAATGTCCCGGTGACCAAGTACGTATCGGCAGGGTCTGTGTTAAGACTCCTGAACACAGGAGACGTCGCCCGGCCCAACGGGAATTTCCATTCACACCTGACAGCGATCGCGCTCTACACTGGTTTAATGTTTAATGCAAGATAACGAGACGGTGTACTGAAAACTTCGAATTTCCTGGGCAATTGTCGCATTGTGACACTGCAGCGTGATAATGTACTAGACATCTATGCGGACGCAGGGCGTTATCAAACACATTTCGCACAAGGCCCGGTACACTCGTTCTCCAACATCTGTCCGAAACAATTACGTTCAATTAAGTAACACTCGATCAAATTAAAGGACGAAATGAAATAAGCTTCATATTTGTTTTTTAATTTTGTCAAGTACTGTCTATTATTTATTTGACAGTAATTGTTTCCCAAAGAAACCAAATCGTCCATTTGCCAGAACGTGTCATTTATATTAGAGATAATACATTGTTCTGTCATTGTTCACGACATTTGCGCTACTGGCGCGACTGCAGCACCACAGTGGAGCCACGTTACCGCTTTTATAAGCCTCTAACTGAAGGCACCCTATGTCACTAATTTCCAATCCGGAAATATCCCTAACTATTCTATAGCTATTAGTTTCGTAAGTTAAAATAGTTTTAGAAATAATTATTTTGTCTGTATTTTGTTTGACCAGAGATCGAAACAGAGTATATATATACCTAAACTTCAAGTTACACATATAAAGTGAATAATACCTCTCTCTGAAATTCTGGAACAATTAAAAAGAAAAAGCAAGAATTGAAAACAATTACAAAACTTTAGTTCTAAATACCCTAGTAAATACAAAAAAATAATGTAATAATTCCGCGATTTCAGAGAGAGGTATTGTTCACTCTATATGTGTTGCTTAAATTTAGGTAAATATAGGGTTATTTGTAAAACAATAACAACCTCGCAAGACTTTAATTACTAACGTCATAAACAACAACTTTTGCTCCTAGACTTTTAATTATTCATCAGATTTTACTTTCGTGCTCTAAACTGTAATAAGTGTGTGCAAAACGCAGGACGAGGGTAGGGGGATACGGGCACGACGCTATAGCCTACATTGCGGCGGAACGGCACAATGAACTTTATGGTCAATTGCATAACTTACAAACTAGATACGAGGCAAGAATAAAGTCGCGCGTCTTCCGCGGAATTCTCGCGCGTGCTCGAGAATGGGCATTCGCGAGAATTCCGCAGCTGCCGTCGACGACACTTGGCGACGCGGGAAGTGGCGTGAAGGCAGGCGCAGTGTGACGTCAAACGTCAACGAAAAATGCTCGAGCATTCCAGCGACATAAAAAATGTCGGATAGTACAACAAAAACTTTAGCAAATATATTGCGTTTTGTAAAAAGTAATGAAACTAAAATTGTTGTTTTTTTTAAATAACAGCAAGCAACAGCACGAACAATCGTGCGCCTGATGGTAAGTGACACGCCTGTCCATGACAGTTGCATTTGCTCAAAGCTTTAAATCGCTTTAAATCAAAGATCTTAGACAAGTTGACAAGTCCCATGTGCCTATAATTTCACCAGCACCCTTACCCTTCTGAACCGGAACGCAGTAATGCTCACATTATTCTGCTTATCGGCAGGAATAGGTGAGGAGCTCTACAGCTACTAAAACTTGTTGTTTATGTCAGTAACATAGTCGTGTAAGGTTGTTGGGATTTTAAAAACAACCCGGTATACTCCGCGTATTACGATTTCTATTATGATTACTTATCATATTAATCCGCTACTTTTAGGAGTTTAATGGAACTCTAAACAGGTCCGCTACTTCATTTAGTTAAACGATTACTGTATGTTTGATTTGAAATAAAATTGTTTGAATAATAATTTTAAAAGATTTATTAATTTCCTTAAAGTGGGGGTTTTTTACCTACAAATGAATACGGAAACAAATATATGAAATGCTCTATGACTCTATGACACACAAGCACGCAAACGCACACCCGCCTGAGCAAAATCGACATAAAACACAAAAGGCACAAATGAAAAGATGTCTGCATCTAACAAATTACAAATGTGATGCACCCATATGAAGCATCAAAGCTCATACCGTATTCTTCCTTCGATCCCTATAATGTGGCACAATCCAGTGAAAATACATATATTCAAAGAAAAATGCCTTTATTAAGTATGCAAGCACATAATTGCGTTATAAATAAAGGGTTTTCCATTAAGGGCGAGTAGATCAGATAGAACTATCAAAATCTAGCCGCCCTTGATGAAAAACCCTTCACATAATCACGGTGGAGAAGTAGTTATAAGAATTCAGATTTTTTTTATACAATATTGGAGTAGTTACGTATTTTTGATCTTGACTAAGCAATATTTTATTATAATTATCAATACAAAGATCGAACACTCAGAAAAAATTCCTTCGATTCGGTCGGATTCGAGCCGACGACTATACCGTGCCAGACGTTATTCCAATTCAGCGACGGAACGAACCAGTGGACCTCACGAATTCTTCTATGTGCTTGCTTCGTATCTTTGTATTTGGTTTTTCAACGACTTTTTAGCCGTAGCGCCATCTATGAGAAATCTATGATATTTCGTCACCCAGTGAGATACCTTTACAGCTACCAGCCCCGGCTAGAGATGTCGCTATTTATTGTATTTAAATTTTTATTGAATTTATATTCAATTATTTTTATGTGAAATTACTCCACTAGTTTGTTATAATTATTAATACAAAGATGGAACAGTCTTTTAATTACTCAAAATTAATTACAATATAAAATTACGAACAAAATTATCAATTGTTTCATACTATGCATACGTACCTGGATATGGTATAAAACCTTATAGCAAAAACGAAAAAGTTCTCTTTACATTGACATTACAATTCATCTTAAAACTAAGAGTGCACTTTAAAGAAGATTTTTATTACACCCACCCAACTATATAAATTGATAAGGTTAAAATAAAATCCTAAAACCATTGACTTACAAATAAATGGACGACGGGTCTAATACAAAA